TCCGCGATATACCCCGAATGTCGTCGGGGATATAACTCCTATAGAACTTCCTGCATATGCTCCCTCGAAGGGATAACACTCAGTTGCGGTGAAAAAGAGAGATAGGTGAGAGGGGGTCCCGTTCAGGCCTTACCTTCTAGTGCTAGGAGCACTCCATTGGCTCCCTTATACAAAGGAAACACGTCAACGACTCCTTCCAAGTGTATTTTTGACAAGGCCAACGAGTGTTCTACATCCCATCCATACTGTTCACATCCCATTCACCTTGTCATCCATTCTGAATCACCTCCACCCCTAGACCCAAGCAATGATGTCCCTTCCGTGGTTCGGAACCATTTTCTTGGGCCATTTTGAGGGAAAATGTGAGCACCTCAGAAGTTACACCAGTACTTATACGAATGACATGGCTATCAATATCGTCCGTGGAGTGCACCTCATTCCAAACAGCCGTACCTTCATCTAATCGTATCGTATATTCCATAGGGTCATGCTCGTCCAACAACCACCTATCTCCGACCTTAAAGGATAAAAAGGATAAAGCATTTGCCGTTGATCAATCCCTTTTTGGGATGCGGCACGCATTCTACTTCCATTTGTACATTCGTAGTGGCGTTTGAATGCGATGTGGCCTATACAATGACTTGCGGGGGCCAGCCGATGTTCAAGTCAGTGTTTTTTTATCCCAGACAAGTCTGGTACCAATTAACCGACCCCGGAGGGATGGAAGGCTTGGTTGGCCCGGGCGACTCACGACCCAGGATTTGATCCCCGGACCGCTCGCGTGGTAAGCGCGCCACTTGTCACTACACCACTTCCGCCCATGTCTTCCGACCTTATTCAATTGATCAGTTCGCCCAGTTCGGGTACCGATTCCACATAGATCGCCACCTTGGATACCAGCTCTTTCAAATGCAATTTTCTGGGTCTTATTAAGAGACGCAAATTGGAAATCAAATTCTGTAACTGTCGATCGCAACTTACCGAATCAGAGGGAGCCAAGAGAAATTTTACAGAAAAGAATAGTACTCGCGTCTCCACAATTATCCATTGGCTGGTGAGGCCCTCCACGCGGTCTGAGAGACTGCAGTCGCAGTATAAGGGGCGTCATGAGTTCAAAGGTGTTGGATAATTTGGAGAATGTCAGCGATGAATTCCTTACCTCTTCACTTTCATTCCCTCAGATTGCTTCTACTCTTACCCTTTATTTGAGGATCCTAGAGCCTTAAACTAACCATCTAGTCAACTTATGCCTTGAAATTGTATGACTGGCAGGAATGTGGCTGCCAATTATTCTATTCTGCTTCCGCTTTAAGGCTTTACTCTGCTTTTGTCTTGGGTAGTCAGTTCGAGAGTGCAAGCAAAATGTTATGGATGAGGCTAATCTCGTCTCGTGCCTGAGAGTGACAGCACAGAGGCTAATCAGGTATGGTTATGCGTTCTTTTCTATGCTTGGTTACACTAGGTGCACTGGTACAAATCTGTTTACAGGTGACTCCTTCATCAAAAATAGTCGGCGATCTGGCGCAGTTCATGGTCCAAAACAACCTCACACGCGAAACTTTGGTTGATCGTGCCGACGATCTGTCTTTCCCTAAAAGTGTTGTTGACTACATGCAGGTGATTTTTTCGAACCTTCTTTGCCAGTATTTCACAAAGGAATTTTTATCGAGAATGACAAAGTCCAAGAAAGTGCACGTTGAACTTTCAGGGTAACATAGGCCAACCTCCATACGGGTTCCCAGAACCTCTACGAACAAAGGTCCTTCGTGGTAAGCCCAAAGGTATGTTGGTAACAATTATACATGAGCTATCAGCTTCGAGGTCCTTGTAATTGTACAAAATTCTGTGAAATATAGGTGAAAGGAAGAGCTGGTGAAAGCTTGCCTCCTATGGATTTCGAGAAAGTGAAGAAAGAGTTGGAAGCCAGACACGAAAGGCCTTTGAGGTATCGTTTCAATAGTGCTCTATGCGTACGCAAGACTTTTCTTTCAGAGAACAAGACGTTATGTCTTACGCCATGTTCCCCTCGGTCTTTGAAGAATTCGAACAGTTCCGAGCCGCCTATGGGCCTGTTGACAAATTACCTACTAGAATCTTTTTCACAGGACTGGATATTGCCGAAGAAGTTGACGTGAGTATCAAGCACACTCACGAGTTGCTGCGGTGGATAAGAATCCTTCGATAGATAGAAGAGAACTGTCCATGAAAATTGTAGATGTCAAAATCGTGGGGTACCCGACAAGAGGCCCGTCGCACGGCAAGAAAGCCGAGTCAGCGGACGAGTCGCAGCGCGTACTGTAGCTATTCAGCGTCAAGTTGAATAGTGATTTAGAGTTGAATAGATGCAGCGTCCTACATCTGCGCATCATACGCTGCGACTCGTCTGCTCACTCTGCCTTCTTCCCTCGTGTCGGGTACCGCAAAACCGTGCGACAAGTGTGCTAGGCCTTTCCATGACCGCTTCGGCTGCTTCCATGTTTCCTCATTCGCAACATGCAGGTCTCTACGCCCTCTACTCCTTTGTGCTCCTCCCTTATCCTGTCTTCTCTGCACCCAATGTCTCTAATTATCTTAGCATGTCGAGTTACAAAATTGAGCAAGCCCTTAATTCTTAGTGTTCTCAACGGCCCTCATTTTTTTCATAACCAGTCTACCTCATAACGTTGCTTCCATTTTCGTATGGAAGAACCACACAAGTTTGTTGTGAAGTGTGCCCTTGAGTTTTTTTTACTGAGAAATTTAGCATAGCTATTTCATCAACTAGTTTTCTTGCAGCTTCAGTAGATATGGGGAACAAGTAAGATTTTGATGGTCTTCTACAGAATTACTTCAATTTCTCGTGATTTGATTTCGCTCTCTTTTTGACAGAGGATCACAGCTGTACTTGAAGTTAACTCGAAAATTCTTGATGTGAAACTAATGGTAAGGAATCGCGGCTCTTTTCACAGGGGATATTGGGCACTGTATTACTTAGCAAGATCTGAAACACCGTGTGACTGCTTTCATGATAATTTGACTTCATTGGATTAAGTTGGATGTATTTATGTACAATTTTAGGTTGAAATCGAAAAAGGAAAAACGCTTGCTATTCAACTTCTGGCCGAAGGTAAACTGAACGTAAAGGGTGAACGTGAAGTATTTTTCTATCTGAACGGTCAAATGAGAAGTATATTCGTTCAAGATAAGGAAGCTTCAAAGGTGGGTTTTGTTCAAAATGCCTTTCTCTCTTGAAGCATCGAATTATTTGGTGATCAGTGAAATTTTCTGCTTAACGCCAGTGATTACCGTTGCAGTGATTACCCTTACCTTGAAATCTGCAATTTGTACAGCAATTATCATGAAACCTAAAGGCACGGATCGGA